GACAAAGAAAAAAATCCTGACATTGATAAATAGGAGAAATACTTCCATAACTTAACTGATAGAAACTGGCTAATATAGAGAGGAAAATCTAAGGTTCTATAGCTCCTTCTAAAGAAGATTATTTGTAACTACTAACTTCTTTGTAAACTATCTTTAAAAAGCAGTTGCTATAAAACTGGATAGTTCTTCTAAAGTTCAACAGTAGAAACAGATAGGAGCATCAATCAAGATTGACTTTCAAATGTAAAACATGTACAGGACATGAGGAGAACACTCCTTTTAGCTTAAGTGTGCTTGCTTTGAAGTACAAATTGCTTGGAGGAAAACGGAAGAGGAGGTGGCAACCCAGAGGACAACGGACACCTAATCAAGGGAAGGAGCCATGTCCCAGTGAAAAGAAATGTTAGAAGAAAAGGGGAAAAAAAAGAAATGGCCCATGATGTACGAAGGAGGAGGGAGATGTACTCCACAAAATGGAGACCATTGGATACCAGATAAGGCAAGGGTCACTATGAATATACTTAAAGAAATCAGCTGAGAGCCTGTGGAGAACCAATGCAATCTCATTTGACCCAGGACAGCAATGAACAAAGTTTGGCAGCACCTAGGCATGGCCTTCATCCTGTAATGGCAGAATGAGACTGTGATCAAGATCATATCTATTACAGTGATCATTAAAACAAAGAATAGGCTAAGCGATTTCATCCTCACAAATGCCACTTTTGGGGTTTGTTAAGGGCAATGAATTTAGAGATCTCAATGCTGTCTTTTAGAAATCCCTATAGAGCCTAAAAACTAGTTGCTGCCTTCCAATATCCATCTTTATCAATGAGCACACCTTAGGTTCTAGGAAGAACCATCTCTTTATATTAAGAACACAGACATCTTTAATTTGGAGTATTTTGTATCGTTAAAGAAAGTAGACTTTTAAGCAGACATGAAGGGCATTTGTACTATGGACTCTGTTGTGTAGCCATGAGATGAACTTCATGATGTGGTTACAGAGTCAATGTAAGTGTATAAAAATCCAAATTTTACACACAGCTCTGTTCTGAACAACTTGTTTATGGTTTTTATGATCTGGCAGTAGAGAGACTGAACAATGAATGTTTCCTTGGTTGAGAGAAAACTATTTTTCTATAGTCATAGGTTATAGATTAAATACAACATTATGTTTAATGCAAAATTCCTTTTTAAATGTTTCTGCCAATAAAAACCATGCTTGGTTATATTTTGTAGCTGAAAAAGTATCTAAGAATCGACTATCATGTTACAAGCTTGGATGGCGAATTCTCTTCCCCCTCAAAAAAGTTCACCAACTTTTGAAGATCACCACAATACTATTATTTATATGTCGGACACACATACACACCCTTTTGGTTTTTTTTACTTTTTATGCTACTTAATACTGGTAGAACTGCCTGTAACATGTGCATTCATTTTGGAGATGAGGAAGCTGAAGCATAGTGAAATTTGTGTCATTACAGAACTCCAAACTGTAGAGGGAACCAAGAACTCAAATGAAGAATCAACTCAGAATCTGCATGATAAGTATATTCTGGATAAGATGCACAGAAGAAACCTAGTAACTCAATGATGCTATGACACACACCTTGCCAACTGAGTGACTTTAAAGTATGACCTCCTCAGTTATTTCAAGAAACTCTTGAAAGGCTGACCTTTAAATGAAAGACCAGCCTCATTTTTTTCTCCCTTTTAAATCAACCAAAAACTCATTTCTGGTAAAAGCTCTTCCCAGAACAAACACAGAGGCACTTCCTACATCTCTGCCCCACCATCTCAACATTCTTTCAAAACCCACAAGGAATTAATGCATCAGACTTCAGAGCTCCATGTGTTAGTTTCTTGATGTAAGCCTTAAATCCACCATTAGCTAACTTTTAATAAAACATTTTCTAATAAGTTTTGAAATGTCCTTCAAAACAAAAGAGGTAAACTGTAGAAAAACTCTAGAATATTTCCAAGCAAGTAAAAAGCAAAGTAATTTAATGAAAATAAAATCTTCGGATTCAAAAGAGTAATCTAAGCAGCACACTACAAGGAAAAGGTATGCAGGGAAGGAAAGGTACTTAAACAATCAGTGAACAAAGTAATAGATTGAAGAGTAATTTAATAAAGTTATTAGCTATTGAATAGAATTTTTTCCTGGACAGCAAATGATAAATAACAAAAATAACGAATATCTTTCTCCCCCAAATGAAAAAAAATCTTGTTTTGTAAAGTCGTTCAAGGCAAGAGTGGTGCACTTGCCCAAAATCTTAACATTTTAGAGAAAGAGGCAGGAGGATTAGAAGTTCAAGGTCATGTTCACCTGCATAGCAAGTTGGAGGCCAGGCTGAGTTACATGAAAAAAAAAGTACTTTAAGATATCAACTTGCATTTCATTTATAGAATGAAGACAGCATGATGAGATCAGTATGTTCTTGGTGTTTAAAATTCAGAAGATATTCACAACAGAGTCTCTATTTTATATCTGAAGAAAACTTCTAAAATTCAATTAGTGGTAGATTAATCACATTATTTTTATATTCCCCTCACTGACTCAATCTTGTGGATACATTTCAAAGGTCATATGGGACCAAATCAAGCAAACGCAGTACATCAGACCTAGAGGCTACATGCTCCTCCATGTGGTCCCTAAACACCATTTACAAATATGGAGAATGTATGTATGGCTAAACATCCGCACTATTTCCAAGTCAGAGATGGGAGGAGGGCTCAATTTGAGCCAAATCTATCTTCTATAATACATTCTGAAGGTCTCATTTGAGACTAACCATTTCAAACTTTAGAAGATGAATGACTAACAGTATCACAACACCTGCATGTATATAAAGCACAGACTTATCATAGCTTCTCCATCTATAAGAATCTCATTAAACACTTTCCAGGAATAGAAAATGGATAATTTGCCAATAATTCACAATATTTTTACTACACTCATTCAGACCTTCAGTTCTAAACACTGGAAGGCAGAAAGCAATTTATGTAAATAATAGTGGTCTCTGATTATAAACTACCCATGCTCTCATTCAAAGACTTCACAAATCAAGTAGCCAAGGCACACAAGAAAAATAGTTCCTAAATGATCAAACCTGGGAACTGCATAGTTCTTAACAATTGTTGTAGTTTCATAGTAGTATGCAGTCTATTTATCTGTGTCTAAAAAGCATATGGTCACTTTTATAGTCTAAACAACAAAATGTAAAATGTCATGAGGCCTTTGAAAGTATAACCTTTAAATGCTTAAGGCCAAAGTGACATCTTAGCTTTATCAAAAATATAAATTCATCAATCATTGCTATAAGCAGTATGTACACCTATGGAACAGCTTTTTGTGGGTCAAGTTTTTTATTGCAGTTTTCATATCAGTGACTTGAGGCTGCCTTTCTGGAGGATGTGAACGCTCACCAGAACTGGTCAGAGTCCTTGGTTGACCTATAAGGCAGACTACGTGAGGGGTAATTAATACCTTGCTTTAGTATGAAGTTCAGTGAGTTTCTGAAACTTCTTTAGCACTGGAGAGAAGATCCCAGTCAGGATTCTCAGTTGGACCTTTGCCTCTCTCTTCCTCAAGGCCAGAAGGAAGAATCTTCATTGTAGTGCCTCAAACATGATACACACACAAATGAAGTTTAAAGGCTGACTCAGAGAATGTGCGCCTCAGAGCCAAGGCACACTGTATGGTTCTACTCCAGAAGGCTTACCTACTTTAGAGCTCTCAAGTTTTACCTACAATACAAATATCGCCTTTTGCTTTTCCTTAGCAAATCTGTCACAATAACCATTTTTTGTTCACAATAAGAAAATAAAAACAAGATGCTTATTGTATTTAGCTCCACATAGTTTTGTTTAGACCAAAACCAGTTCAAATCAGGCTTAATTCTGCTTTCATTACATGCCTTAATGCGAACTGACAAATAATACTGTTTTTGTCTGCAAACTCTTCAGAACAATGCCTGTTGGGTAAATTACATGGCTGGGAATCCTTCTTTATTTAATATTTATTATGGTAATGAGCATTCAGCCTTCAAGGATTTGCAGAAATCCACAAATCTAAGTGAAGGAAACTGTATAGCGCAAAATAATTTTATTTTTAAAAAGGATAATGTGAAATCAATAGCCAGATAAATATTTGATTTGCTTTTTTCTTTTTTTTTTTTGATTTTGTTTTCAATTCTTCAGCCATCATATCAATGATTCAAAGTTACAGGCTTATTCTGTATGTTGGCTATTCATTTCATTTTCCAAAAAAGACCGTATGTAATACTGAGCTCACTTTGGGGTATGAGCTAAACACAGAAGAGAAGATGAGAGGATGAGAGACCATACAAGTCCATCTCTCTACTGTGCTGCGTCACATAGTGCACACACACAGTAGCTAGCAGTGTAAACTATAAAAGGCATCATTCACTTAAGGACAAGATCTCAGGCCACTTGAAATTCTTTCAGGTTGATTTTATCTTTTAGTATCTTTGAAATTATGTTCTATTTTTGATCTTGACAATCTACAAATATCAACACTAAATATAGTTTCATATAGTCATAACACCATCCCATTATATAAACTAGAAGTAGTAAAATCAAGAGTAAACAATCTCAGAGAAGATAAATAGAGCAGGAGAGCTACATTTTTTAATCATTAATTTTCACACGGCATAAGCACACTGTATAGCGTTCTTGTCTCCCATCCAGAGGGACTCTGGGGAAAGCTGGCTTCTGTTTGTTTGATGAGACATAGCAACAGAACAGGACTGTCTTCCAGACAAGGTCCTAATTAAAACTTAGAAAAGATGTTGAAGAGATAGCTCAGCTGTTACAAGCATGTATTGCTCTTCCAAAGGATCTGAGTTCAGCAACCATGTCAGGCAATCTACAACCACGAGTAACTCCAGTTCTAGAGGCACTTATATACTCTTCTGGCCTCCACAGGCACTGTACTCACATGCTCGCACACGTGTGCGTGCATACACACACACACACACACACAAACAAGTATATTGTTTTAAAGAGTTTCTTAGAAACCTTGTTAGAAATGTTGACACCTTAGGCCCATGGTTGAGCTTGTGTATTGACAAATTTGAGGCAGGATACTGACACCTATCTAAGGAAAGAGGGCATGCTTTGGTTCAGCTATGAAACTCTGCCACAAGCTCAGTGAATTGACCTGGAAAAAGTTTGAGTTTTATTGCCATTTCTTAATACACTAGTCTGCCTATTTTGCTCGACATCAAGAACACAGAAAGTATTTACCGTCCTTAAGTTCCCTCAGGACTCTGTATTTTCAGAAACACATGTTAAAAGAAACTAGAGTCATTATGAATAGAATATGAAAGAGGTGTTCGTGGTGCTCAATCAAAACAACAAAATGAAAGTACCTAATGCGACAGGGTCTGGATTGACAGGACTCTGCTGCCTGGAGTGGCTGCTGCTACTGCTGCCGCCCTTTTTCAAGTCCTCAGCATCACTGTACCGCCGGATCCAGTAATTCAGTTCCTCCCGGTCTGCTTCCTGACATCGTCTCAGTACAGTGAGGGATCGCCTTGTCTTCTCTACCATGTCCATTATGCAGTTTAACAGCTATGTGAGAAACAGGGGTGGGGGTAGGGGAGGCGGGGGTGGGGGTGGGGATTATACAAGTCACCACAGAGCTAAAGCTTGGATGAGTAATAAAACACAAAGTTTTGCATTTCAAAACACAAGGGCCAAGGAAACAATGTTTTCTTTCCTAAAGCTTTACTGTAAGATTTCTGATGGAAAGATTTGAAATTCAGACCCAATAATTGATCAAATTCGCCAGAAATGAGGAAGGACAAAAGAGGAGGAGGTATGGATGGAGTCACGACAGGTAGATATTTAGCTTACAGTGTTAGACAGTAAATTCATCCTTCCCAATACAGAACTCATTAAGCTACAAACTAAGTAGCCCTTTAGCAATAAAACAGTGGCCTGCTGATCTGCCTTCTCTTGAGGTCTAATATTTCTCTTAAGTAGCTTTTACATAAATTTGTAAATCAGATCCTATGTTCTACATCAAATAGTCTAACTCATTCCCCCCTTCCCTCAAGAACAGGAAATGAAATACTTTCAAAGCACTAGGAAAACCTCCCGTCGCTTGTTTGTAGAACATTTTTAGCCCAAAAGATTACTGATGTCTTACATGATCAAGATGTTTCCACTCTTCTGCCCATTCTCTATCTGTTAGCCTGTGGTCAATCATTTCTTCTTGACGTGTGCCATGTAACCCTACAAATGGAGAGAAGAAAGCTTAATCCCTCGAGACTCCAGCACATGGTCCATCTACAATCAGCACAGAGAAACAGCTAGGGAATGTGAACACAGAATGACTCTGGTAGACGACCTCACAGCTGAGAGTTGGTTATCTACACAGCATTCCTGAACTCTAAGGAACACAAGAAATCTGGGCTCCTGTTTCTTGTATTTGAAGCAACAAGAAAGGTTTTGTTATTGCTGTTAAAAGACTGGATTAAGTATGTTGAAGTCCTGGGTTCAATTCTCAACAATCAATCAATCAATCAATCAATCGATCAATCAATCAATCCAGCATCAAATCTGGCTATATAGTGCATTAAAAATAAGGACAGCATAACCTATTTTACATGGGTGGGGCCATACCTTTTCCAAAGAAGCATGGCGAAAATCTCACATTTCAACAGTTATAGGTGCATACAATCTGACTATACATATCTAACAAAGCCCAGGAACCAAAGCTTAGACATAGAAAAGCCACGGATGACCATTCAACTTATCAAAATATAAACCGTGAGAAGAAATGAGATTTTTCTTTTCTTTTTAGTTATTTTGTTTGTTTGCTTTTGTTTTTAGAAGCAAGGTCTCACCACGAAGAGCTGGTTGGCATAGAACTGACTTTGAAACCAAGGCTGGCCTTGAACTCTAAATCTTTCTGTTGAAGTCTATGAAGTACTGGGAAATTAGGCCTGAACCACCATACCTACCACCACACCATAAGTTTTATTAAAAAAGAAAAAGAAAAGAAAAAATCGACATGCCAGTTATAAAATAATCAGTAAATTTTTAAGGCAGGAAACTGAAAATTCTAATTCAAGAATCATGTGTAATAAGCCTCTTTGGTATCACTGCTACTATGAAAAAGTAACATAACATGGGCTAGGGAAATGGCTCCGTCAACAAGATACTTGCCATACAAGCAAGAGAACCTCAATTTGGATTTTCAGTGCCTGTATTTTAGGGAGAAAAAAAAAAGGACATATTTTTAATCTCAGTTTCCCGAAGACAGAGACCATAGTTTTCCTAGACTCCACTGTCCAACCAGTCTAAAAAATATCAGTAAGCTCTAAGTGAGAGACTGTCAAAAAGTAAGGAAGGCAGGAACTGAGGAAGATACCTGATGCTGATCTCTACACCCTACAGACATGGGTACACACAACATGGAAATGCTTACCAAGTGGGCACCAAGTTTTGTTTTCCCTAATCAATGGTCTCACTCAAGCCTAGGCTGGCTTAGAACTCATGGCCAATCCACCTGACTCAGCTAACTGAGTCTGAAATAACAGATGTGAACTACTCTCGGCTCACCACTGACGTTAACAACTGTGAGAAGTGAACAAAGATGCTCACAAGAACACAAAGTCCATATGTCTCACTGAAAGGGCAAAAGGTCTGATGGGGCTCATCTGACAGAATCCCCGAGGACAAAGACCTTTCCATTCTGTCAAAGAAAGGCAATTAGTCTATGACATCATTTTCCACTTTAGATGGCTGAATCCCTGCAGTTGGCTCCCATTCCTCACAGTCCACGCTAACAGAAAACCAGGGCTGGCAAAGGTGCAGTTCCTAGACATGGAGGGTCTTTTGCAAGATCTTCATGACACCAGACTTACAAGCCACTGAGCCCCACGTACTGTGACACATAAGTGGTCTGAAATCTTTCTCTGAGCTGATTTAGAGGGAAAAAACTGATGAATCACAAGTCTGTTTTCATTCATGAATATATGTGCATCTACGATGGATTGGATTAAATAAATTCATGACAGTTCTTTCTTGGGCTCAAAAAAACTGCCAAGTATAAGATGTTTTGCATTATTTCTGCCCAATTAGAAAATATCCAGAAATACATTTCAAAAGTTAAAATTGTTAATGCCACCTATTGGTAAAAATGGAAAACTACAAATACATTTTACTGATTTGCATAATAGAAAAGACACCAAGGGAAAGTAATATTTAGTTATTGCTCTGTTTGTTGTGATTATTTCAAGTTGAAATGTTTGCAAATATGTAATTTTTGTTGACTTTATTTTTTGTTTGTGTTTCCAGGGAAAAGAAGCACTAATGTTAAAATTAGTCATTGTGGAAAACAACTAGAGAGTGATAAGAATATAAATGTGACAAGGACACTCATGACACTGGCATCTAAATATATGCCTGTGGGGATCAAGAATTATTGAAGTTACAAATACATCAGGACCTCAACACACTAAATCAATCCTGATACACATGCTTAACTCCCAAGACAGTTAATGAATAATAGGATGTCTATAGATAAAGGCAGTTCAGCATTTGTGTAGCAGTGCTGTGTTTCATTTCACAATAATAATGATAATAATAATAAAATAATAATAATAATATATTAGAAACATGTTTGATCCTTAGTATTTGGTGAACAAATCTGCCTGGCTCAATGCATTTGAAGTCTGGGGTCACGGCTAGGTCTGACTGAATAGGAAAAGAAAAAATTAAGAAAGTGAATGTTTGCATTTATCAGTATCTCGATATCACACACTTAAGTTCTCAGCCCCACATCGTTTTGATCATACTGATAACTCAGAAGGCTATAAAGAGGGTCAAAGGCATGAATAAACAACATTTAATAAAACAAACACTTCTCACTCATGATATACTTGGCACTAATGTTGAGACTTACGTTGTTCTTAGTTTCCGAAGATTCTAGATAAATGGGACCATGTTTTAAGCTTACTGATACACCAATGCTGCTTACAAAGTTACTCTATTCAAGAATTCTCATGGGTAATATGTCTCTCTATGTAAGAGGCATTTATACACCTTACCTTAATGGCTATTTTTATACCCTCAAGATGGCCTCTTGATGTAGCACTACAATTTGTTTCTTATACATCAAGATTTTATTTTGTATTAACAGAGACTAAACTCTGCCAGACTTGAAGAAGGGTTAAGTAGTTGCACATATTTCTAGAGATTAGCACTATTGGTTTTATAAGCTAGAATAATTAAAAGGTGAGACACATGGTCTGGAGAAAATTACGTCAAACCAGTGGTTTCAGACATAATTCATAAGGGAACATTTCACATTACTACAGGAAAACATAATCACTATACATAAGCATAATTACTTCCATGCTGATTACCGTACAGCACATAGTAACTAATACTTCATCAAATGCTAGTTGTTGCCTAAGAAAGAGGCCACTTCTTTTGGGGGAAAAGAGGGAGGCAAGAGTTTATTTCACTTACAGGGTACATTCAGTGCACCATCCAGGGAAGTGAAGGGAGACCTGGAGAACGCCACTTGCTAGCTTGAACACCACTTCTATGCTCACAACTGGAAATGTCTTGAGCTAGTTTCTCAGTGGCCAGATGACTTCACTGCTGTTTTAAAATGAGAAGTTATACCTGGCCATGGTGGTGTACCCCTTTAATCCTAGAATTTGGGTGGGGCAGTGGCAGATGGATCTCTCTGACTTTGACACCAGTCTGGTCAACATAGTTAGTTCCAAACTAACCAGTGTTATGTAGACAGACCACGGTCTCAAAATAAAAACAAATATAAAAATGAGCCATTACAGTTTTCAGGCATTAAATCATAAATAAACGTTAAAGCTATCATATCTGATGTGTAGGTTAAAGTATCAGTCTAGATTAATAATATAGCAACTTCTGAAATCTTTTGAGAAATATTACCTGCATGAACATTAGACAGATTGGCTACTAAGAAAGCATAAATTATATGTTTTACCACTTGTCTGACATGCTATATAAATGTAGAAGTCGCTCTTTTGGGAACCAGAAGTAGTAATTAACCATCTCACAACCAAGGCCTCCATCATATCTCTTTCCATCCCAACTCCCCCTTGCTGCTCTATAAACATGCAGAGGGCTGTACAGAGACCCAACAAACCCTAATATGAGAACTCTTGCTTTCTAGCAATCCAGTTAGAAACATCATATCAACTGCTACAAATCAGGCATCAGCCTGTGAAGAAAACAAAAGCAACTGTAACCATTATTCCAGTACTGGCCAGGTGGTGGACTGTTTCCCAGAGTTCTGCATCCTTGACACTGTTTTCTGTTTTCCAACCTAGACTTTATCCCTTGTGTGTTACCCACCAAATTCCAAATTCTCCATGTTAGGTAAGTTTGCCAACAACCAGTTTTGTAGTAAAGGAACACCTCTTCACATTCAGGATCCAAAAAGGAGAGCAGTAGATTACTGTTGCAGGCTGGACTCAGCAAAAGTTAGGAACTAAAGGTGCCCCCAAGAACAGCACACTTGCTAAGTGCATGATGTCATCACCTTGACTACAGTCACATGCCACAACCTGTTTCATTAATCCTGCCTTTGATGTTTCCATCCTTAACACTTCACAAGGTAACATCTCCTAAAAATTTCACGTTCTGTAGTTTGTGAAATGAAGATGGAGATGCAGGCAATAGAATATATATTTGCCACTCCTTCTGTATTCTGCTATTTGATATAAAATGGACACTAACTCTTATCCCTAGTATTTGTGTATTAATATAGCAAAACATTTCTCAAGGCATTCCTGTCAAGTTAGGCCACAGACAACATGCCATATAATAATTTCGAAATATGAAATAGTATGGAGACAAGAAATGTCAAAACCAACTTTGACGCCAAATTTCAGTGAAAGAAAATAAATTAAAAAACAAAAACATCGGTGGTAGGACTTTGTAAGAAATCTTTTATATTAAAAAATAATTCAAGGAAAATATATCTTGCTTCTGAAACTAAAATTGGGGGGTTTCTATTATATTTGATGGCCTCTTTTAAAAACAAAAAGTTAATCTGTTCTCTTAAAGCATATAAGTGATGCCACTGTATATTGATACATGCATAGAATCCCAATACTCAGGAGGCAGAGGGATTGTAAGTTCTGAGGGCAGACTGGTTTATATAACAAGATATTGTCTCAAAGTTTTAATTAATTAGTTAATTAAAATACAAGAGATTAAAGAAGAGACACAGCATATTAGTAGTAGACTTTCTTCACAAAGGAAACAACATGAGAGAAATGTTTACAGATTACATGTTCAAGTTCAGTTAAGTAATAGCACAAATCTTCAAATATCCAATCCCCAAAGAAGAAAACAGATTCTTCAGTCTTACCCATAGGTCTATTTCTGTCCCTGAGGTCCCTGTGGCTGGGGTGTCGATAGGAGTCCCTGTAGTGGTGGGCAATGGCCATATCATCCAAACGATAATGCTGAGGTGGAGGTGGGGTGGGGTGAGGCAGGCCATTTGGCTGGTAGGATAAGCCATTATTTGGACTGTACCGCTGGCCTGGGCTAATAGTGCATGGTCGCTTGCTTGGATGTTCTGAGTGCAAAGGCTCTCTGTCAAAGCCATTTTCTTTGGTTCTGAGGAGGGAAGAAAAAAAATTGTTTCATAAAGTATTCGACATATTCCAGATACTTCAATTTGAGCTTGTAATATTCAAGAGAGTATGTCTTCACTGGTTAGTAACATACAGTTTAATGCTTCCCAGAGACTCAACACAAATTCACTAAAATGCATGCTCAGCCTGAAAGAATCACCAGGCTAAGAGTAGGAAATGCCACACTTGTCATGGAACTAGCAAACACCTTTGTACCTTTGTGGCTAAGTCACAAATAAGAGGAAACCCAGTCTCCTTCTACAGGTGACAGGCTCATGCAAAAAGATAATACTTAATTTCTAACAAGTTACCCTAGTGCTTACTGCAAAGCTGGTTCATATCTATACTCCTAGCCTGGGCTACATAATTAAATCCCTGTTTCAAAAACGTTAGAGAAAAGAGCTACTCTATTATTCCATGTTGATTTATCAGAAGAAACCATAATTACTATCTAGATGAATAATATACACCAATCAATTACAGCTGGCCTCTGAGTTTTGTCCCCAAGAACACGTGAGGGCCTTTAATTGGAAATGGTAGTTTGAAAAGTAAGCTAACTCAGATGAAACAATGTTCAAAGCTCAGTCACCCAGCTGCCACATTTCAGGTCACCAGTGACTTAAGGCTACAGAACTTGATCTCAAAGACACAAAATATTTCCGTATTCTATTTGTGTTCAATGATCCAACTGAACTCATACAGGAAGTCTAGATCTTCAACACTATCTTGAGCCACTGAAAAAGAAATCAGTCAACAGTCATATATAGATACCTGAGACTTGATGGAAAATCTAGCTCACTTCATTCTTTTTTATTTTAAAGAAGAGAGTCGTATTGGGGGTTGAACTCAAGGAATAACATGGAAATTCTCTATCACTGAGTTAAGCTCTCAACCCTTACAATTACTTTATTTTAAAACTGAGTAAATTCAGCATTAAAAAATGTACGTGTCCTGCCTGGAGTTGTTGTTTCTTACAACAGGACAGGAACACCACAAATGAGCTTCACCATGTACTGTATAGCATTGTGAACTTGACATTCAGAAGACATACATTTAATAAATGAAACCAGATACCTAATCACTGCTCCTAGATTTGCACACACCAGTAGGGCTAAAGAAACAGGTTCTTGCTGAATATATCTGTACTTAGTAACCCAATAAACTCAGTAAGAAAGAAGTGAATTGTATCTCACTTTGTCTAGAAGTAGAGCTTACACATTAATGACTTAGGAGCAGCTGGCTCTCTTCATCAAGCCAGTGAAACACTGGCAACATCTATTTTCCTAGAGAAGTCACCTCATAAAAACCTTACAATTCACACAGGCTGCAGCGTTCCGTGAGCTTTTTCAGTCTTGAACTGGTAAATAGCTACAGAACACATTAGACAGACACCTTTCCTTCTTCCCTGGCATCAGTGACCGTCTTTATTGGATTATAGCAAAGGAATCAAGAGAGGAAAAACCTGAATCAAAGGTGTAGATAATTGGCAACAGGGCTCTACAAGGACCTTCCCATCTGTTCCTGTAGGATGGAGTCCTAGTGACAATTTACACACACCAGCCAGGGAAACATAAAGGGGTTGGAGACAGAGAGTGCAAGAACCCAAGGAACAGAGGGAAAGTCTGCAGAGTTCAATGTGAAATGAATCTATGCCCACTACAAGTTAAAGAAGGAGATGGGAGTCTTGGCCAATATTGGAAATGACAGCAGTGCATGGCCACCATGGGAATGGTGGCCAGAAATCTCAGTGCTGCTCCTGTCAAGAGTGTGTCTGCACTTAACATACTGACTCCACACATATTGATCACTGGAATCAGACTGAAGTATCTAGTATAGCTCAGACACTACCTAAATAATTTTTTAAAGTGGAAAGAAACATTTTAGGTATTGATTTATTGTGAGTCTGTCTACGTGATTCTAATGTGGACTTTCACAACCTATACATTTTTGAATAATACAGTTTGACACTCAGTACATATTACCAGCATACATCAGTCGGAAAGCAGTGAAGACTATGACGAGCTATGAACATAATGCTAACCCAGCACCTACCTTACTGGCAGTGTGGTGTAGTGGAAAGAGCACGGGACTGGAAGTCAAGAGACCTGAGAGCTAGTCCTGGCTCTTCCACGACTAGCTGTGTGACCTTGGGCAAGTCACTTAACCTCTTTGGACCTCAGTTTGCTCATCTGTAAAATGAAAGGGTTGGACTAGATCAGTGGTTTTCAAACTTTGACACCTGACGTGCATACGGGAGTGTGTAGGCAATGAAGAACTGTTTGCCCTGCCAAATCAGGATTTAAAGGGCCAGTAAAACCCACTGATTATTCTTACCTGTTTTGTAAATGAGGTTCTACCTAGGATTTCATTTTTTAAAGAAAAGCAAATGGTCTGCTGCTAAAAATCAAGTTTGAAAACCACTGGACTAGATGATAGCTGAGGTCCCTTCTGGTTTGAAAACTCAGCAATCCACTGCTTCTGTTATGATAGTCTAATATTATCATTAATAGTATTAATAGTACTCTAATATTATTCTGTTATGATAGTCTAATGACAATGGCATTACTATAATAATTAAAGAATCCAGGAATGATGGCTTTCTGGCCAAGCTTGAGTATGAAACCCAGCATGTCATGTCAAGTTTTCTACTCTTTGTTTTACAGAATGTATTATTTATAGTTTGTGTGTGGGTGTGTGTGTAGAAATGAAAATATACTCTAAATATCCTTAAGTAGCACCAGCATTTCTATACATCCAACACATCTTTGACTCATTTGTGTCACAGCAGGACAGTTTATAACTTTTGTTTCATATTACCTTATTTCAATGACATCATCAGCAACACATCACAGTGCAAGAATCCAACCAGTTCTCAAATGGATAGACTTACTATCTATGTCCATTCTTACATGAACTGTTACCTCAGTGACCCAATTACATGAAACAAAGCCAATTCCCAACTCCTCAAACATGGGCACATCTAGGTTTTGAGTTTGTCCTCTCTCTTAAAGGTTCCTGCATTCCCCACTGAGTCCTCTCACTCTGAGACTTGGTGATATTACAAAGCACCCCTCCTTTGGGGTATCATTCACAGCAGAGCACTGACATAGGCCTAAGAAGCTAAGAAGTCAAGCTGTGTAGTTAGTTATAAGTCTCACCTTACTCACAGGACATGTGTCCAGAGTAGTAACTCAAACAACTTAATTGCCATTTGTCTCTGTGTCTTAGAAATGCCTATAACCATCTATACCTCATTTGCTTAAGTAAATTCCATATTTGCATTTTTATTTGTTGCCCTTTTCAAAGTGTATTAGACAAAATTAAATACCCTTTCATTGTTCCAAACTAGCCTTCCCCTTGAAATAAGTCAAGTCTACAAAGAAGTCACCACAGCAAGTTTGAGGGCAATGCGTGGAAGATAGCTTTTAATTTCTAAAGTCTACCTCGGGATGCTATGTTCCCCAACCAGAAGCTATCATCTGAATGGGAGCTCATCATTCAACACTTAGTCCAAACCACCCCTAAGGTCTGACCTAAACTCAGCATGACCTTGAGTTCCTTCCCTCTCTAGCCTCAGATGCCTGCTCAGTAAAGTGGGAAAGTCACATAAAAATAACAGAGAAATAACTCAAAAGGTTAAATATACTCTTTATTACTCTGAGGCTATTTTGCTTAGTCACAATGAGGCTATTTTGTTTAGTCACAGAGATTATCAATCAACACTGGGGAAAAAAATTAAAGTCTACATGAGAGGCTGGAGAGATGGCTCAGTGATTAAGAGCACAGACTGTTCTTGCAGAAGATGCAAGTTTGATGACAGGCACCTATATCAAGCAGCTCACAACTCCATGTAGCTCCAGATATGATGTCTCTGGCACATGGCATGAGACAGACCCATACACATACACATAACTAAAAAATAGTAATAAATCTTTCTTTAAAAGTCTACAAGAAATACGTATCATCCTATGATGGACAGTGCACACTGATGATTTCTTTGCAGCGTACAACAGACTACATCATTCAAGGAGATGGAAAACAAATAGAATAAGCCATCAAGAGAAGGAGGTGACAAAGAGAGTCAAGATGAATCTCCTGAATGATGCAAGTGGGTCCGAGCTCTTCCTTTTCTCTAGATGTATCTGTTACATTGAGAAATGGCTCTATAAAATGTTTCTGGGGATAGGCAATGCTTCATTGTCTAAGCAACCTTAGAATGGGGAAGACTTGCCCTGGTGTGGTGGTGTATGCCTGTAATCCCAGGAACCTGACACAGAAAAACTGGCAGTTCAAAGCCAGCCTAGACTACAGAATAAGACTCTGTCTTAAAAACCAAACCAAACAAAACAGAAAAACAAAACAAATGAACACAGCAGCTAAAATTCTAATCTTGGTCCCAACACAACTAGATTCATAACTCCAGAAAATGCTTTAAATATTCATTCACTTGAGCCCAAGAAGCATTTCAAAGTGAGTGGACTCAATCTGCCCTCTCATCCTCACTTGCTTTCTTCACCGCTTCCTATGCTGTCTCCAGAATGTCTTCTTCTGCAGCACTAAACTATGCTGGTGGTCTCTAATACATCTTTGGTCCATCCTCTCTTACTCAGAGCACTCTGATTCATCCTGTCTTTCCACTGTCACACTGAGCAAGCATCTGAACACAGGCAGGGCTGCTCTCCCAACTTGCTTTCTGTTTGTCTCCACAGCTGCATTCAGTGCTAGACTGTGGCTCTGAAAAGAAGATGGACAGGAAAGAGACATTGGTCTGAAATCCCTTATATCAAGCACAAAGACTTACATTATTTCTTTCTTAAGCTTCATGTATATACATCTCAACTTAGGAAGGAAAAGTTTCTATTAAAGAAAAGTCTAAGAGCATTAAAACCAATATCACACATGTATTCCCTCTTCTGAAATGTGTTTGTTAAGCTCTCATATAGCACGACTGGACCTTGATTCAAAGGGGAAAAAAGCATCATT